CGCTCGCTGACGGCAGGTCCCTTCACGGTCCGCGTTTTGATTCAGTTTGGGCGAATGCAAACAACTTATTGATCATGAGCCCAACATTCAGTCTACCTGAGGGAAGACGTCTTTCATTGTAATGCAGTTAAATAGAGAGAGAGAGAAAAAAATACATCAATTTTTTTTTTTACTTCTAGCGTATTCTTGGACCTCATTATTGAAGTACAAATACAAGCACCAGAAGCAGCCCACACTCTCTAAGTTTTCTTTAATTGAAAAATTTGCATTTTCATTCAAAGGCTATATGGTTGCAATTATTTTTTTACTTCAAAACTTTAAATGCCATTGTTTAAAATGCTTTATTGACTGACGTTTCATAGACATTCAGTTGTTACGCTTTCAAATTTCATGCCATTTGTAATTTCACAGTATTTCCACCTCCTAACTTACTACACTTGTGAAGTCACAATTCTATATTGGTACAATTTACTCAGGCCGATGACATTTTTTGTATGACATTAAAATTCTTTTTAGAATAATTGCACATAAATAGGTTAAGCAAAACAATTGTGATTATTTCTGTGAACTATCTGACTGCAGGCAGACATACATTACAGTACAAATATTTGGAGCGTCCCTTATTCTGTCCCTTATTTTAGAACAAACACTTATTTTCTACAAGAATATTTAAAAAAAACACAATTTTCTTAAAGAATAAAAGATAAAGAATCACAATTGTCCCTTATTTTCCATTTCTGAAGTTAATTGGCAACACTAATGATGACGTAATAATATTTTGACTCCCCTGACAGCGGCACCTTGCTCAAAAAAACAAACAAACACACAAACAAAAAAAACCTCAGTTGTTGGAGATATGCGAGCAAAAAATAATAGATGAAAAATGGATAATAGAAAGCGCGAAGGCGGCACTGAAAAGGCCAGTAAAAAATTTTTTTTAAATAAGTGGGCCGGTCTAAGGAATGAAACTCCAGGGCTGAAAATGAGTCCCACTCCGGCCCTGGGGAGTCATTATTAGTGCTAATGCTTGCTAGTGACAGACTTAAATAACAATGACTCCATAATTAAATTATGCAACATCCCTCTGGAAGGATTCTATATGTAGACATGTACAGTATATCCTAGAGATTTGGGCCTTCTTTTAAAAATGGAAAATGTTCTTTTTTTAGAACTTGTCGTTTTAAAGGTAAATAAAAATAAATAATTACACAACAAACATTAATTTTAATCAGATCACTGGGATTAATTTGCTTTCTAGACAGACAGTAGCATACAAAACAAAAGGCCAACACAAATGGACAATTTTTTAAAACCTGATTAATGCATTTGAGCAGACTAGTCATATTTAAAAAGGGATCTCTCATGAAAAGCACTATAGGAATTTTTCAGGCTTTTTCAATAATTTCTCAAGCCAACAACAAGAAAAGTAAATAAAAATAATAATAAAATGAAATAAAATAACAATTTAAGCTTAAATATATTTATTTCAGGCAGGAAATTAGTACATTTAAGTAACAAGGAATTTATTATATTTAAGTTAACCATTTGGCCAGCAGAAAAGTAACTGCAATGAAGGAACCACATTTGCATCTGCATCGCTTCACATTAGAGTTTTGTGTGTGATCAAAACATAGACATTACAGTCCATTAGATGTGCAGTTCTTTATGTGGCAAAACATCTAAGGCATGGCTTAATGTGTGCACCTCAATCCTTATAATATACAATATGCTGTATATTGGTGATTTCTGGTGATGTCAATCCTGTACATCTGCATTCAATGCACCTACTTTAAAAGTAAGCATTTATGTACATATTCTGACTAAGTCATATGGAATGGACATCTCTTATGTGTTTTAGCAGGGATAAAAAAAATTTATTTTATGTTTTTTTTTAAAGGTATGCTCTCCCACAAGCAACCTACTGTCAGACTCTGTTCCATGTTTCGTGTGTGTCCTGCTCCCCATGTGCCTTCCCATGCCCTTATTTGGTTTGTTTCCTGTTCCTCCCCTGATTAAGTTGATTTCTTCCCAGGTGTGTCCCTTGATGTGTCATGGCTCCCAGGTGTGTCTCGTCATCCCCTCCTCCTGTGTGTGTATATAAAGTGTTCCCAGTCCCTAGTTCTCGGTCCGATGTTAAAGGTCTTCGTGTGAACGTCTTCCTGAGTTCGTCTCCCTTGGTCCGTGCAAATAAAGTCCTGTTAAGTATTCTCCAGCGTCTCCTCGTTCCTCGTGTGTGTGTGCACCCCGTGACACCTACAAGTAAATTAGATTATTAATTCATATTGCTACAATGAAACATTCAGATTGAAATATGTTCAATACACATTCATTCTCATGCACTCGTACACACAGTTTATGCCCCCTGATTTCCATTGCATGTCACTATGATGTGTGATTTTCCATTTACACTGTATTTCAATAAAGGAACATTTGTATAGCAGCACATACATATACAGTAACTATGATACATTATTAAGCCTTTGTCAAAAGTCCCTCGCATGGCTAAGGCTTACAACTGGTTGAATTATATAAATAACTGCAATTAAATATGTTGTTTTGACATAAATTTACTAAAATTCTAAACAAATTTCCTTCCATTAAGTTAGAAGAGCTTCAAGTTTTAACAATTCCCTATTTACAATACCTGAGCAGTAATGCTGTGCTTTTGCATATATATAATCTGCATATATAATGGAATCATAATAAATTAATAATAAGTAAAGTGCATTATATGTTACTCTTTGGTAAATAAAATAAGGAATCCAAAGGGCTATTAAAAAACTCAATTTAGGTGTATAGGATAATTATTATAAGGTCTAAGTATAATAGAGAAATAACCCCTCTGGAACCATTTTCACATGCTAAAGAGTATCTTTGGTTATTGTCTTTGATGTTGAGGAAGGATTCTAGTTGGCTTTCAGATGATTTAAACCTTTCTGATTTTTTGCCTGTTCCTCATGAACTTCATCAAAGGAACCTGACTGAGATTCCAGGGATGACTTTGTTATCTGCTTTTGCAAGGAATTGTCAGATGATTCCCATTTATGAACCTCTGAATCATCATTAGTCTCATTTGTCTGGTCCTCCTCATCTTCTGATGTATCCTCTGTAATATCTGAGAGTTTGCCCTTCTCCTTTCTGTTCTCTTCAACCTCGTCTTTCTCCACACAGGAACTCTCTTCTGCATCATCACTCCCATCCTCTGGAGTCTCTTCGTCTTCAACTTCATGTTCATTATTCTCTTCCCTGCTCTTTGGTTGTCCAGCGGCTGAGAGTTTGAGGAAATTCAGAGTGTGAACGAGCATCTTGAAGGTTTTATGTGCAGTTTTCCTCTGTGGCTTGATCTCTGACTCAGAACTCAAATCTATGACTTGGTTGTGTTCTTCTGTTTCTGAGTCTTCTCCGTCAGCATCGGCACCATCTTCAGACTCCGAGTTGTGCTTTACCAAAACATTAAATGAAGTCGCCCCATCTGGTTTGTCATCTTTTGGTTTTGGCTGTAACAGAGGGTGTAAACCTAGCCTGTTCCTATTATGCTCCCCTTCATTTCTCTCCATGTCTGGCTCTGTGTCATCCTCAGCTTCATCACCAGCTTCAGCTGATTCACCAGTGTTGGCCACATAACCAGCTTTATTTGCCATTATCTCCACCTCATCATCTTCTTTTCCACTTTCTTCACCTTTATCATCAACACTATCTAGAACAATGTCATCCTTGTTCTTAAGGGGTGTTTCATCTTCAATTACCTCAAGATTAGTTAAAACATCATGACTCTCAGTGTCTTCAAAGTTAGAAAGAACACCTTCCTCCTTTGCTGCTTCACAACTGACAGTTTCCTTGTCTTCCTCATCGTTTGATTGACTGTTGTCTGTCTCTTCTCCAGTCGTCTCATGATCAGGAGTTTGCTCTGTCAGCTCTACCACAGCATTTTTGTCTTCTGCCGTGTTGCCATCTTCAACAGCAGCTTTCTCTTCAGACATCTCAGTTTCAGCTTCAGAGGTCGCCTCATCTGCTGTTTCTGCTTCAGAAGTTCCTTTTTCATCAGCTGACACAACTCCTGCAGTTCCTACATCATCTGTGTTGTCTTCATCTTCATCAGCTCTTTTTACATCAGTTCCTCTTTCTTCAAACGATGTCCCGTCCGCAGTATCTCTCTCTGCTTCTGTTTCATATTCAGCTGTCTCACTCTCTTCATCACTTTCAGCTTCAGCAGTTTGCTCATCATCTACAGCTTCATTATCAGCCGTATGTTCCCCACCTGCATCAGCTTCAGCATTTTGCTCATCTTCTGCTGGTTCATCACCATCTGTCTCACCCTCTCTTGCAGCTTCAACTTCAGCAGTTTGGCCATTTTCTGCCATTTCATCTTCAGCTGTCTCACTCTCTTTTGCATTGTCCTCATCATCTGTATCACTCTCTCTTGCAGTTTCAGCTTCCCCATCTTCTACAGATTCATTCTCAGCCGTCACATGCCCTTCTACAGTGTTGCCATCAGCTGTCTCACCCTTTTCTTCAGTTTCATCATCACCAATATTGCTCTCTTCCACAGTTTCAGTTTCAGCAGTCTCTCCTTCTACAGATTTGCTTTCAGCTAATGCCTCACTCTCCCCTGCAGTTTCATCTTCACTTATTTCATCTTCTCCAACAGTTTCTGCTTCAGCAGTTCGTCCAACTTCTGAAGTTTGATCTTTAGCTGTCTCACCTTCTTCTGCAGTTTTATCTTCATCAGTTTTTCCATCTTCTGTAGTTTCACTTTCAGCTGTCTCATGCTCTTCAGTAGTGTCGTTGTTTATTGTCTCACCTTCTTCTCCAGTTTCATCTTCAGCAGTTTGTCTTTCTTCTACAGTTTCATTTTCAGCCATCCCATGCTCTTCTTCAGTGTCATCATTAACTGTCTCACCTTCTTCGCCAGTTTCATCTTCAGCTGTTTGTCCCTCTTCTGCAGTTTCACTTTCAGCCGTCTCATGCTCTTCTGCAGTGTCGCCATTACCTGTCTCGCCGTCTTCTCCAGTTTCACCTTCAGAAATGTGTCCATTTTCTGCAGTGGTTTCTTCATCTGAAATTTGTCCATCTTCTGAAGCTTTATCTTCAGCTGTTTCACCCGCTTCTGCAGACTCATCTTCTGCTGCCTCACCATCTCTTGAAGTTTTAGCTTCAGCAGTTTGTCCATCTTCTGCTTTTTCACGCTCAACTGTCTCACCTTCTTCTGCAGTGTCACAACCAGCTATGTCATCCTCTCCAACAGATACTGCTTCAGCAGTCTGCCCATCCTCTGAAGTCTCTTCGCCAGTGGTCTCACGCTCTTCAACAGATTCTGTTTTTGCAGTTTGCCCTTCTTCTGCAGTTTCATCATCAGCTGTCTTGTCCTGTTGTTCTGATCCTTCCTCAGTGTGTTCTTCAGTTGCTTCCTCCTTTGCTGCTTCAGTTTGCATTATGTCATCAAATTCACTAATGTCCTCATTTGCCACGTCTTCATCTAATTCATTAATCTTAGAACTGCTTGCACTTTCTTTGACAGCCGTTAAATCAGAATCAATCTCAATATTCTCTTCTTGCTCTTCATCTTGTTGCATCATCATTGTGTTAACAGACATCTCAGCAATTTCCCCAACTTCATTCACATCTTTCTTTAAATGTCTGGGTATATTTGATTGTTTCTCGGAACTATCTTCTACATAATTGCTGGAGGCACTGTCATCCTCTTCACCCTCCTCACTTTCTTGTTTTTCATCTTCAATTTCTTGAGCACTGGAAGCAAGTATTTCTTTATCTGCCCCCTCTTTCTCATCCTCCTCTTTGACAGCCTTAAGCCCTGCATTTTCTACTTCCATCTCACTTGCTTCTTCATTGGCAGTCTCTTCGATCTTTTCATTGGTTGGAGACGATTTCTTCATCTGGAGAATTCTCCTTAAATCAAAGTCTTTCATCACAGGGGCTGAATTAAACATTTCCACAGGTAACACATGCTTGGATACCATTTTCTTTTTCAAGCATGTGTCACAAGGACAATATTCATCATCGCTACGTTGATCGCTGAAGTCGGTCCCTGTCATTGTGTAATCATCGTCACTTTTAGCAGGTTGTGGATCAATTGATTGGTTGCACATCACTTTCAGACGTCGCCGCCTTTGCACTGTTTGAATGGTAGATTCACGTGACATTGTGTCTTTTGGTGGTCTTGGTCTTCCAGCTCTGCCTTGGATTTTCCTTAGCTCCCTGTCTATACTTGATTGTATCCGTCTGCGGACTTCATCTTGCAATTCGCATATCATGGCATCAAGTTGCTCATTGTCATCCAGATTCCAACGGACTTTGAACTCAGCCATTGCATTAATATAATGTGTCATAAATTGCTTTTCTAATTTGTTCAATAAATTCAGAACCCATACAGGATCAGGGTCTTGAGAAAGCCTTTTTGATAATTGACCTTTTTGTTGTTTTGGAGCGCTGCCTGAACTTGTGTCCTCTTGACGGTCTGATTCAGTTTCCTCTTTTTTGGGATTATTCCCAGAACTCTTGTTTGATGAAAGAGGTGTTTCAATGAGTTCCCTTGGACTATCATTACTCCTGATTGTCTCTTCAGAGCCTGGGACATCATCTTTTAGCTTCACTTCAATTGTGCCCTTTGTCTCTGGGGTCCACTGAGCTTGACTTGCTATATCTGGAGTGGCTGAATCGTATTTTGTTTCTGAAGCTTCCCCTTCCACTGTTTCATCAACTTCTAGTACCTTTGTCAGGGTATCCAAGCCTTCACATTCTGTGTTGATTTGGGCTTGGATGCCATCATTTATGCTACTTTTCCCTGAACCGGTTGAGCCACTGTTAACATCGACTCCTGAGGATGACCTGGCTTTGAATTCCTCATCCAGATGCTTGTTTCTTTCCACAGATGTCTTCTCATTGTCTTTTGGGTCACAAAGCCAAAGGGACTTAAGCATGCTCATGAACTCCTGGTATTTTTCTTTTTTACCATCTTCATCACTAGGACCAAAGTCTAACAGCTGAAGATTTGCCAAACAATCCAGAAGACCTTGCACTGATGCACTGAGCTTACGTCCATATACAGGAGATACCTCTGGTAGGCTATTGCATCGGTCGAGTTTGGGGCTCAGCAAGACTTTCATCACCAGAACTGAGGAACTAAACATCTTTGGTTCATCCCCTCTCTGAGAGCGATCACCCTCAGCAACTTCAGGAGATTTTTTGTCCGTAGCACCTTCTGTATTCACCACATGAGCACCTTCCATCTCATTTTGTGTTTCAAGCTTGGTAACATCACTTGGCTGCAAACTTCCATGCTCATTATCAACTCCTGAAGGCACATGAGATGTGCAAAGCGGCTCTATTGAAACATGATTGTCATGGAATTCGTCCCCCAAATCACACAAGGTGGTGTCTGATGGGATTTTCCTCAGCCATTCATTCACCACCTCAGTTGGAGAAGCATTTGGCAAGCAAGAAGGACTCAGCTCAGACATGTCATCATCCATCTTGTGGCAAGAAGAGTCGCTTCCAATTCTTTTTCTACATTTGCTACTTTTTTCACTCTTAATTTCACTGACATTTGTATCAGATCTACAAGACTGAGGTCTTTCTGCTGCAGCATTCAAATGGTCAGTATATTCTTCTCTTGGTTCTGGAGCAGGAACTGTCTGCGATAACACACTATCATTAGAGCTGCCAAGTAGAATAACAGGTTTTTTGGATTTTTTAGGAGATTTTGGTGGGCTAGGACTTAGATGGTTTCCTGAGGTAACAGATAACCTGGTTGCATTGTCCTCAACTTTCTGTGTTAACATGGTGTTTGATTTATTGCTTCTTTCATTGACAACTGTAGTTTCAAAATTATTTTGACCATTTACTTTCAAATGAGAGGATGAATTGGATATATTGCTCTTTGGTCTGTCAGTCATTTCTGCAGTATTTCCTTCTTTAGTTTTGGATTTCTCAGAGTCTGAGATTGCTGAGGCACTCGAAGCAGGTGACATTTTTCCTTTTTGTTGTGTAGAACTGCATTTTGAACAGACACTTTGAGATTTATGGGTAACATCTGGACTTTCAGCTTTCTCTTGACCTGTGATTTCAGCTTTGCTAGATGGACGAATCTTCTGGGTTTGAGAGCTCTGTTTCACTGAACTGTTGGCAGATGGTTGGCTATCAGATGAAATTATTGAATACTTTATTTTGGAGGATTTATTGCTTGCTACATTGCTACATCATCTCTGTCCTGGATTATGTCTGTAGGACATGCAGAACCGCAATGAGAGCTTTTGGACCTCAATTTACGAGAGACATTTGAATTAGCTGATGTAGAACTTTTAGGTCTTCCCTCTGGTGTCGGTGTTGCTTCATTTGTGATTTGTACTGGAGATTCTGATGAACCCTGGTCAGATTTACCACATATTTCAGTCTTTGATGAAGCAGATATTCTTGAGTTAACTGAAACATCATCAGCCTCATGGTCTTCAACTACCCCAATAGAAACTGAGGTGCTTGTTGGTGTTAAAACTCTTTCAGAGGCGGAACCAACTTAACTAATTTTGGACTTTGCTGACTTTTTAGACAGAGGACTTGCAGGTACCTCTTCATGGTCGGAGTCTTTTTCAGATGATGCCACTGGACTTGATGGCTTGTTTATTGCACCACAAATGCATTCATTTGAGTTCTCTGCTTGAGATACTTCTGAGTGATTGGACAATGGACTCTCATCTCTGTTTAATTCCCTATCTTCTGTGTTTGTGGGTGTATGGTCCTCACCTTCAGAAATTTTAGACTTCTTGGATCTTGTAGATACATTGGATTTAAGTGACAATTTACTCGGTGAACGGTTTGCTTTTGTGTTCACACCTGCTTCAGACATTTTAGAATCTGCAGATGCATTAGAAACCACACTTGTGGATCTTCTGTCAGGCTCTTCAGCTTCTGAGAGGAGGGATTTTGCAGAAGCATTTGATTTAGTAGGCACAACACTTGATTTAACAGTGGCATCAGATGCTATGGATTGATTTGATTTTGAAGACAAAGAGCTGGTTGTTCTGTCTACCACTTTACTTGCTTCTTCATCCTTCTCAACTGTTCTTTCTGAACATTTTGATTTCTCAGATGTACAAGATTTTGCAGACATTGCACTTGATGCTCGAACATCTTCAGTATCTGTTTTTCCAATTTCTTTAGGAGCAACTACTGAAATAGTTGACCTTTTAGATCTTGCAGATGTTTTAGATGTAACTGACGCTGTACTTGATGCTCTCTGCTCTACATTGCTGATTATCTCAGAATCTTCTGACTTCTTTGATCTTACAGAAATTGAGGACAAACCACTTTCTGTTCTTGCTTCTTTTTCTTTGTTGACAGGGTCACCTGGACCAGATCTTCCAGAGGCATCAGATTTCAATGACCTAGAACTTGGTGCCAAGTTCCTTACAGAGGAATGTGATTTTGCAGACACAGCACTTGGAGCCCTTTCTTGGATTTCATCATCATTTGTGATTTCATTTTCATCAGGTGTGGCATCAGATATTATTGAAATTGCACTTGGAGGTCTCTCTATGTTCTGAACCCCTTCTTCAGCACTAAAGTCTGAATGATTTGACTTATTGGACCTTACTGAAATACTGGATTTAGTAATACTTGGTGCTTTTACTTCACTTTCTTCATCATCAGTCTCTTCTGGCGGTACTTCTGAAACTTGTGATGCTTTGGATTTTGCAGAGATACTGGTTTTGGTAGAAATAGCAGATCTTCCTGACATAGCACTTGGTATTCTGTCTCCTTTTTCTTTGTCATCAGCTTTGACGTCTGTTGCAGAAACATTTGAGTTTTTTGACTTTGCAGAAATGCTTGATTTTGCAGACAAAGCACTTGAAGCTCTCTCTTCTTTTTGGTCTTTCACATCAACTTGCATATCAGTTAAAACATCTGAAATTTTAGACTTACTGGATCTTGTTGAAATGCTTGATCTAGCTGACAATGCACTCTGAGCTCGCTCCTCTGTTTGGTGTTTTGCTGCTTGAGGCAAAGCAGTTGGCACTTTTAAATTACTGGACTTTTTTAATCTTTCAGAGGCATTTGATTTAGAAGACATGGCACTCAGCGCCCGTTCCTCTGCAACTTGAACTCCATCACTTACCGTCACTCCTGACTGATTGGATTGTGCTGCCAATGCACTCTGAGCCCGTTCTTCTGTTTGGTCCAGTGCTTCTTCTGTGACCAATTCTGAGATCACTGATTTCACAGATTTTGCAGAAACATTAGATTTAGAGGACATTGCACTTACAGATCGCAAATCATCTCTATCTTCAGCTACAATATCATCAGCCATATCAGATACTTTGGATTTCTTGGAGTTAGTGGATTTTGTTGACAATGCACTTGGTGCTCTTTTCTCTTTGTCTGGCCATTTCTCTGTGCTTTTGCAGGTTTCTTTAGGTGCTGTGCTGATTTCATTTGACGTTTCAGATGTATGTGATGCTGCATATACTGCGGATGATTGATTATCATCTCCTGCCACCTCTGACATTTTGGACCCTTTAGATCTTACAGAAACATTAGATTTTTTTGATAATGTGGAAACTTCAGATTTAACAGACAAAGCACTGGAGGCTCTGTTTTCTATTTCCTCCTCCTCCATCTTGGACTTATTTGATTTTAATGAAGCATTTGATTTGATTGACGTAACACTAGGAGCTCGTTCCTTTGTTTCTTCCCCTAATTTTGGTGTTGTTTCAGATTTCCTTGATCTTGCAGATGTGGTAGAATTCACTGAAATAGCACTTGATGCTCTTTCCTGAACATCTTCTTTTTCCTGTGCTCCATCTTGGTCTACCTCAGATTTTTTGGATGTTTTGGATCTTGTAGACATATTTGATTTTGATGACACAGAGCTTGGCGATCTCTCCCCTGGTAGCCCCACTTGAGGAGCTGCTTCAGTTTCAGGTGTGTTTAATTTCACTGAATTTAAAGATTCATCTCTTTCTTGAAAAGATACTGCTTCTGAAATGTCAGACTTTGATTTATGTGAGACATTTGATTTAATAGAAATGCTCCTGGGGGCCCTGTCTTGATCTTCAAGTTCGCTCAGCTCAATTGACATTTTAGATCTTGCAGAAATATTTGATTTTATCGAAATGGAGCTGGGAGCCCTCTCCACTGTTTGATCATCATTTGTCACCTCTTGGATTCCAGACTTGTTTGATGTTCCAGATTTAACACTTGAAGCTTTCTCTTCTATTCTCTCCTCTGATGCCCCATCAGGTACAGACTGTGGCTCTTTAGACCGACTAGATGTAGTGGAAATATTTGATTTAGATGACACAGCACTTACAGCCCTCTCCTCAACATTGTCTTGTAATGTGGGAAGCTCATCAAAGCCAATATCTGATGCGTTTGACCTCACAGATGTATTTGATTTAACAGACATGGCACTTGATGTTCTTACTTCAGAGATTTGTTCCTCAGACACATTGTGTGAGAATTCGGTTTGTCTTGATTTGTCAGATTTCTGAGACTTTATTGACATGGCACTGGGTGCTCTTCCATCCTTTTCAAGTACCTCTGAAACATTTGTTTTATTTGATTTTCCAGAGGTGATGGATTTTATGGAGATAGCACTCGAGGATCGCTCCTCTATAATTTCGCCATTTGCTCCAATACACTCAGCACCATTTTCATTATCATAAGAGGCTGATAACTCAGACAATTAATTTGTAGACGTTTTTGATTTGGCTGACATTGAACTTAGTGCCCTTTCTTCTTTTTCTTCATCTTGCACATACGTTTTGGGTTGAATGTCTTCTAGTTGATCATTTGATTCAGAATCCCCTATAGTTGCTATGTCTTTTGTGACTACACATTTACAATTTTTGGGTCCAGATGAAGCTTTGGGTGAAGCAGATGCTTCAAACCTGCCCTCTTCATCATCCACTTCTGGACTGGCCAACTTTCTGGATCTTTTAGACCATCCTAAAGATGAAGCTGTGCTTGGTGGTCTTGGTGACAAATATGCCGGAGATGCAGGAGATTTACAGGGTGTAGTAGAACATGGGTTTGGTTCTGCAACTTTGCTCTCCTCGTCTTCCTGTTGGCCATGGGATGTTCTCGAGATACTCGGAGGAAGGTCGACATCTTCATCATCTTGATCCTCTTTCAGCGATGCTAAAATTTGAGAAGAAGAGCTCACAACAGATACAGGCCTCTCCTCTTCCTCCACTGGCTGAGTGATCTGAACACTTAATTGATCTTTAGGGAGGTTAGAGGATATGACATCAGGTCTTTTCTCGTAATTTTCAGATACATGAGTGTTCTCACGCTTGTCTTCTACAGTACTTGTGCTCTTTGTTTTAGGGGACATTGAGCGTACTTCACTTCGACTGTGGCAATGGTTGATGGTACATTGTTCAATCGTGGTGTCGCCCTGCTGTCCGAAGGTCTGTTGAATGCAAGTTGCCTTTTCTACTACATGCTCTGTGTACTCTTCACTGGTCATTGTGCGCATGCTGTCGGTAGATGCCTTTTTGCACACTATTCTCCGCGAGGATGCGCTGGAGCTTGAGGATCTGATGCGTCTAACAGATCCTTGATCGGGAGGTACAGTGTTCTTCCAGATATCATACTCCTGACAGTGAGTGCAGCAGTGCTGGCAATGTGGCTCCTCAAAGTGTCTCTGGTAACGTTTGGTGCTGTATGTCTCATCTGCTTCGCCAGCATGGCAGCTCTCTGCACTGCCATGCGAGAGGGAACAAGCATCATCAGGTACAATATGGGATTCATTAAAAGTGCTCTTTGACTTCTTCACTTCTGTGGACCAGTGCAATGTCTCGTTGTGTAATAGTCGAAAGCGCACTTTCATCTCCATTGACAGGCTTCCGTCTTTGTTGACCAGAACTCGCTTTTCAATGTCATCATCCATCGTGTTTTCTCCCGTTTGAGGACAAGCACCTCTGTGTCCTGGTGGTAATGAGTTAAGTCCATTTGGAAACAACTTTTCAGATGAGATGGACAGTCCTGCTGATCTGTTGCTTGAATCACACCTTGGATGGATGACGCTTCTTTTTGTTTCAAGTCCAAAATTGACTATAAGTAAACAAAGTAAGTAACTATTACAAAATCATATATTTTGTAATAGTTTTTTTACTGTAAAAAAACTAATTTACCACAGGGTTAAAAAAAAATACACATAACTGAAAATATATTCTCTAAAACCAAGTTTTATGTTACAAAATTTAGCTTCAAGTAAATTTATGTTGTTTTAAAGATGTTTAGATATTTTTACTGTAAAGAAAGACAAAAAAGGATGATTAATGATAAAGAAAATGACTTTTTGGAGTGTGACCTACCATTTTTCTTGGCCCACTTTTCATCGCTGCAGACACTAGAGCGTGGCTTTGTGTTCAGCCTTGGAAGTTTGTCGTAAGAGTTATTCCTGAAGCTGTCCAACAAGAGTGGGTGGAAAGGCTCACGTCCCACACAAACCAAAATGCTCGGGCACTGGAGCAGACTGTGCACACTGTCAATCTGAAAAACATGCAAATAGCTCTATCTGCGTTAGACTGTGCTGCTGGTTGATTACAATATGACAGAATCAAATTGATTAAGATTAGCAATATCTGGCTGAAATTAAATCAGCAGGGATTATTATAACTGCCAAATTCTGATGAGGAAATGTGCTATGAGGGATTGAAGCCATACCAATTAAAGGTTAATGGCCATGGGAAGTCATCTGGTGTGTACATTGTCCCACACTAATTTTTAATCATGAAAACAGTGATCTGAAAATGTGCGTGATCCATTATGCAGGGTGTTTTCGGCGCATGAGTCAGTACCCATGGGCCAGTATAAACAAGAAGTGTACAAACAAATAGTTCATCAGGTCAATCCAGAAGTCTTCATCCCTATTTAAAAAAAACTATATCATAGTTATATTATATTATATATACTATATTGTGACTATATCAATATTTAAAAAAAAAAAAAAATCAACATCAACTAGCAAATCAAGTATCAGAGTTCATCTGAGGTCAGTTCATTAGAGTTAAACTCAGCATTAACTTATGCTAGAAATATTGGGAATATTAATAAAGAAAGAACTAATCTTCTTAACACTTTAAGGCTTTTTGGAAAAGAAAAAAAAAGTTAAGACACATGAGTAATATGTCCAAAAAAGCATTTTTAATTGTAATAATCCAACAACATCTGATGTTGAACCAGGTTCCAAAATCATGAAAGCAGAATATACTGTATATAGAGAGAGTACAAGTACACACATTAACATCACTGTTTAACACAATACTAACCTTATGCTAAATCTGCATGCTCTGCAGTTTTATATCTTCTAAACTTTTCAATTTTCCAGTGGGTTTGAAGATAATTAATGGGAACTGTAGAGGATGCGAGTATCTCAAACTGTATGTTTTCATGGCATTGACCTGCTTCTGCTGGTTCAAAATAGCTCTGATTTGAGCAAGATTAATAGTTCTTCTCTGGATGCTGGTGCATCACTGCTGTGCAACAATACCAGTAAAGGAATATCCTGATCATATCTAACAAGAACAGCAGAAAATATTTATTCAAAGATGTTTAAAAAGAGTGCATTAAAAATGAGAAAGCTACAAAATTTTTTAAAACTCAATAAGTAACACTGTAATTCTGTTATAACAAATAAACTTAAAAACAGCCTGTATGTTGAATTAAAATGTGTATATCCTTAACCACTTGATTAAGATGGTTGTTCAGATTTGATGCTAACTGTATTTGTGGCTTAAATAAATATCATTCTTTTTGTAAGAATATTACTGCCTATTTAAATATATAAATATATGTATTTTAAATATATTTATGTGTGTGTGTGCGTGTGTGTGTGTATGTGTGTGTGTGTGTGTGTGTGTATCTTGTTTATATGGTTTTAACATGTCATCAATCTGACATATATTTGGACCTTACTATGCTAATAAATTACCAACAATATTTTACAAAATTAATGTTTCTTAGAATGCTATTTATTAAAAACTAAATAAATAAATATAAATAAAAATATTTATAAAAACGGCATATGTATTCTTTATTACAAGTCATGGCTCATTCATTTACAATCGAATCGAATTGGCAAATGATTCAACGGTTCAGTATTCAGGGGGGAATCAGTCACTCTGAACAATTCAATTTTTATTTTTTTTTGACTGACATAAAAAAAATGCTTCACAATTGCTTTTTCCCAACTGTCATAGAAACTATGTTTTAAATAAGATTTACATTTAACTATTTATTTGCAGACTGGAGCCCTGAAAACGCAGAAATTATATACTAAAATTTGTCTTGCCCAGCAACTGAAGCACAATACTTCATATCCTCAACGACACATGAGGGTCATGCTGGATTTTGTTCTTGTTCCTTTACATTACTTACATTTTCAACTTTCAGCCAGTGACAAATAAACCTTTACTCTATTGCTTGCCGAGGTATTTCTGGCATTGTCTCGGTGCCATTCATAATGTTATCCATGTATCAGTCAGGCCCCTGTGGAGGGGTGTGTGCCACTTTACAGCATGTTTTCTATGGGAAGTACATGCCTGTGGCAGTGCTAATAGGATGTGCCTGCTAGACCCACAGAGGACCAGCAGCGCTGACCAGAGTCAGCAATGACTAGTGAGTCCAGCTCTGATGGACAGGAAATGCCTGGATCGACTCCAGACATTCTGTGGACTCCAAGCCAATAAGTGTTCCCCTTTTAAAGGGACAGCACTTTCTCTGCGTACAGTGTGATGCCATCATTAGCACGGTGGCATACTGTACCATAACCGTTGCGTGCGAACACTTAGAGACAGGTCTTGATTTTGTGGAACAGCCTCTGGTTGCCCTCAGAGCTGTATAAACTCCTAGCCTCTCACCTTTTATCAGGGTTGCCATAGCTCTGTCCCAGAGGGGCTATTTCTTACACTGCCCGGGACACCCTGTCCACCTCTTATCTACCCAAACCACCTGCAGACTTTAATTCTTTATTTTTTCCTCTTCCGTGGTCTGTGGCATTTGCCCTTAAGCGCTAGTGGGAGTGATAGTAACTAAAATGAACTTTACGCTGACTGATCTGCTCAACTAATCTTGTTCTCAGCATTATGAGCACTTCATAAATCATACAACTCAATCTGTGGTGACTGTCACTTTGTTTGCTAGCCTCAAATAACTAATGCACAAAAATCGAATTAAAGAGCTCAAGTTTCGAGGTCCCACGGCTTTGGGACTTTCCAGCTGTCAGATCTGGCGTCACTTACAAATACCTAGCTTCCTGTAAACATGTGTTTTTAACTAAACTGAGAGGTTACAAATGAAGGAACAACAGATTTGCTAGCCTAACTTGTTCAGTCTGTTGAATGTTTGTATCAGAGCCTCCAGTTTCATCCACTAGAGGCCTCTGTGTCCTTAGAACATTTGCTTCTCCTGCAAACCAACAGCCATTCATACATAATTTAGGTCAATTTACAATAAATGTAAATAGATACATGAACGTTATTTACAATTTGAGAAATTTTATAACAATGTTAGACAACCAGATAGACACAAATAAGCAAACCTGAACAATGACTGACAATACTTAAGATGTACTGTGGACTAGGCTGTGAATTCCAGGGTTGTGCGCCACTTAGAACTAAACTGACAATTAAATACATTTGAATTGAGGTAAAAATCAGAATGCAGATTTGTAAGGAATTTAATTAAAAATTAAATAAATTGAAAAGAAAAACTTTGAATTATAGCATGACAGAGCCTTGTCTGAAAGTTTAAAAAGTCTTGAAGTTTAAAGGTATGTGTTATAAAAAAAGTTACAAAAAAAGTAGTTGATATAGTGATTATATCCCCACCTCCACCCCACATTAACCATTTAATTCAGCAAACTCCACTTCCTGTAATTTAGCAATCTGTTCTGTACTTGTGTACAATTCATTCAACTTCAGACCGAAATGAAAGGAATTCAATTCATACATTCTGAAGCTGGGTAAATGTGAGATTTCTGTCCTCTATAATAATTGTGAACTTAAACATTACTTTTTTATTTTTTTTTATTTTTTTGATGATTAAAAAGTATAAGAGCACAAACATCAGTATTTACACCACTGTTCAAAAGTTTGTGGTCGGTAAGATTTTGTAATGTTTTAGAAAGAAGTCTCATATGCTCACTAAGGCTGCATTTACCTGATCAAAACACACACATACACACACACACACACACACACACACACACACACAAAAGTAACAATAACTGAAATATATGAAAATACAAGTTTTATATTTTAATCTATTTTAAAATGATTTGCTGCTCAGGAAACATTATTATCAAACACTATTATGTTGATAGATAAACAGTTGCGCTGCTTAATATGAAAAACATTTTTCAGGATTCTTTAATGAATAGAAATAAAAAAGCAGCATTTGTCTGAAATAGAAATATTTATATATTTAATGCACCCTTGCTGAATAATAGAGTTAATTTCTAAATGAAATCTTACTGACCTCAAACTTTTGAATGTTAGTGTATATTCCCAGAAGAGACTGACCTTGTGGCCTTCCAGTGTGTAGAGCTTCCTGATGAGACACTGCATGAGTTCAGAGACCTCGTCCATGAAGAGCACCAGACTACGCAGGCTCCTGCAGTGCAGCACGATGGTCCTCCGGACAGAGGGGTCACTGTTTTTCACATGCACAATCTTCCTGGAGTGCCAGTGATGGTGGTGGTGACCTTCAACCTGTCCAGGAGCTTCCTCAGCTCGAGTGGGCCTCCTGATTGTATACTGCTGAGAGTGTGGATGTGTCTGGAAATGATACCATGGGTTTGAGTAAGCTCCTGAGGCCTCTGAGGCCACCGCCTTGGCCTGCTGGTGATCGGCACACAGATAGCATCCACGATCCTCCAGCGGCTCCAGTCTTGTTGAGCCGGATGAGCCTCTGAAGGACGCTGAGGAGCAGTGCCCATGGGGGAAAGGGGGCTTGAGAGATGGGTCGTCCATGATGGTGTCAAAGCATTGAAAGCTTTGCTTGTGGGAGGCCATTTTAACTTCATCCAATGGCCTGTGGTAGATGTCAGCTGACTGTAGGTTTAATCAGATGATAAACATAGCAGGGCTATACTCTCTGGCCTAGCAGATCACATTCATTCATCCTCTCCTTCCACTCTGTAAAAGACAAAAGCATAAAACACATGCCCAGTTTAATATCACCAACAATTAATGAAAGTAATTCTGTGTCAAGTCCATTAGGATGTCAAGCCCAGGAAACATTATAACAATGATGCAAATTAGACAGAAATGCAACTGAATGGTTTAGGCCCATGAAACAAATTTGCAAGTATGAACTATGTAAGAATGTGGGCTGTATCTGGAATTTAAAATGCAATTTAAACCTGGAAAAAAAATTTTTTTTTCAGTTTTAAGTCAAAGTAAATGTAAACAAAAATATGTTATGGTGTAAAATGAATAAGAACAACTGAATGGTTTAGGCCCATGAAACAACTTTGCAAGTATGAACTATGTAAGAATGTGGGCTGTATCTGGAATTTAAAATGCAATTTAAACCTGGAAAAAAAATTTTTTTTTCAGTTTTAAGTCAAAGTAAATGTAAACAAAAATATGTTATGGTGTAAAATGAAGATTCTAAGATATTTAAGATTCTGTTTCTAGATGATTTAATTAATAACTATGCATACTTCAGATGTTCTCAATTTCACTGAAGCTCAGGATGCACTTTGGATCAAATGATCATCATGTTTGACACAAACCTTTTTGGAGTTCTTACAGCTCTAGTTCTTATGTCATTAAAGTAAATACTTAAGAAATTCTGGAATTCATGTTGACTTCATTCAGCTATATCGTTTTTCAAATAAATATATAATAAAATATCTAAAACAATATAGAAAAGAAAAATAGAAAACATTTTAAAAAATGCAAAATTCTAACATTTTCACTAGAAATAAGAAACCGTTTACATTTTAATGCACACTTGCAAATTGTGCATGTTGCATACTTTTCATATGTTATATGAAACAAATATAAGAGCATTGATAATGATAAGAATCGAACGCAAATGCAAACTCGTTTATGAGAATATTCCTTGTGTAAAGACAGTCCTGATGAACCTGGGCATAAACTAATAAGCTTAAACAAGTGGATAAACTCACAAGCTTAAAAAAGACTGAATGCTTTTAACTCGATCCTGTTCTTAACGGGATTTAAAATTCTCTGCTAAGTTATCCAAACACAATACTGAAACATTTGCACTGTTATGAAATGTAGTGTTTTTAGATTACTAATTGATACTTTACATTTAATTTTAATTTTTTTGTACCTGAACCTACTTTTCTACCACCTGTTTGACCAGAATCTCATTAAAGTATTTTCTCAATCACTTCCTTGCACAATCAAGCTTCTTTACATAAGACATGGTACCTTTAGAACTGAAATGGGCACAGAGTGCTTGATGCCCATTGCAACTATTAAAACTGAAAGTATCTGTAGAGTTGATGTTGAACCAAAGCTAAAAAAAAAAAAAAAAACGAAACAGGTACATCTGCCAGAATCCCACTGGCACATCATGACAGCATATTTGTGCCTGGCACACGCTACGGCTGAGGGAGCATTACGAAGTTCAAGACACAGAAATAATGGACAGATATCAGAGACTAAGCAGGGATAAAAAGAGCAGACTTCGCTTGAATTAGACTAAAGAGCTTATCTGCAAGTGCAGGGAGAAAGTGGAAGAAACATGTGACAGGATGATGCAGTGGAAGCCTATTGTTATTTTTGATTCAAGTACAAATGTGAAAATTAAATATTACCAAGTCATGTGATTTAAGAAAACAAAGTTATGAAGTAAGAAACAGAAAGACATGATTTGTTCAAAGAAAGGGTAAATAAGTGAAATCTAACACAAAACCAGTAACATAGAACAATTTGGATTTCTAAACTGGATTGAAGTAAGAAAGATTGCTGAAAAAGAGGTTTTCTACCGACAGAAGAGGGGGTGCAACCAAATATAAAAAAGTCATGTCGATGAGAAAAGGTGCAACACTCACTCTTGAAGAAATCCAACTTAAATTCTTGATCAGACATCTGATGAAGGCCTGGACAATGGCCGAAACGTCACATGTGTTTTAACCAATAAAGTTGGATTTCTAAACTGGTATGAAAGGTCAGTTACTGCATTGCCTTATATTCTGATCCACATTTACTTTTTTTTTTTTTTATAAACTGGAAAAAAAAGACCATGATCTCTTAAAAAAAAAAAGCCTCAGTTCCAGCTCTTTTTTTCCACTCGAGCTATCGGCACATAAACAGGGAAATGATACAGCCTGAGAGGCACACACACACATATATATATATATATATATACACACGTGTGTGTGTGTGTGTGTGTGTGTGTATAAATATTGGTAGTTGAATCAATAAAGGTTATCAAAAACTAGGACACAATGGGGAAAAAATACATATTTGCAAAAATGATATAGTGATCAAAATGGCCCATGATCATAATGTCCAATTACAGAAAAGCAAAAAAAATTGAATAATTTACATTTTTAAGTGTTACTGATGTAATTTAGATGACAAAATACAGAACTAGGAAAGCTGAATCTGCATCCTTCTTTCTGGAAAAAAATATGTAATTCTAATAAATTACCCAGAGGCCTGTTCCAATATCTGCTTTTGATGAGAACATTTGAAGAAAACAGAATGTAAACAAATAATATAAATCATATGAAATCAATTATGTTACCCAAAACAAGTAAATTCTTGTGATACAGAGGATCTGTAAGCTCAAAACAGCATGTGAAAAAGATGTTAAACAAACCTGAGCTAAGGACGTTTTAAGCATCATGGATGTCCACAGAACTTTGTAAATGCGGGCAGAAGTTTTCAACTCTGATTGGCACAATCATTTTAATGCATGCCAGATAACTGCAATGATGTTTCTCATTATTCTTCAGTATTATTGCAAGCACCTGTGTTGATATCCTTGTAATCACTTCAGATCTACTGAACACCAAGACCATCAAAAACACCAATTGAAGCACAGAAATTGGAGAGAATCTTTACTTTAACCATAGACATTTTCTAAACCACTGAGGTTTAGCCAAGGTCAAAGTAATGACTGTGAAAAAGCACGCTTAATGGTCTTAATTACATTTTCAACTAATTGCGATCCAAAAGAACCAGGAAAGTCGTCAGTGTAAACTCAAACTGTCCCAAAGGACTGCAAAATACTCACCATCATAAGAACCATGGTCTCAATGTTGAGAAAACCAAGAGCTCAGAAAAGCATCTTCTGAGTTTCCACACAATGAGAGTTGAGAAGGAGCAGGAGCTGCTATGAACTGCCAGCTGAAAAGCACTTGTCCCACTGGAGGCCTACCTGCTAATCGGGAAGCTAAGGATAGAACGAAAAGCCTTCTTAATCACTCTGAGACTGCATCAAAATCTGCTGAGGCTTTGGACACATGACTGGAACTTGGCCATGGCTATAAATAAAAGAGCAGACAAACTTAGCACATTGTAAGTGAAAGACCTTCAAGGACACTCATAGTTGATAGCATATGGATAAATTTTTCAGAATCCTCAGAAAAATTAAGTAAAGCAGCCTCAGTATGTCATGAACAAACACTCAGCTGAATGTAGGAGTCTTACCTAATCAAACTGTTCAGAAGACACAATGTACTTAACGTATTTGATTGTTAATCAAATATATATGTCAAAATGCTAGCCAATATTTACATTTACATTTAGTCATTTAGCAAACGCTTTTATCCAAAGCGACTTACAAATGAGGACAATGGAAGCAATCAAAATCAACAAAAGAGCAATAATATACAAGTGCTATAACAAGTCTCAGTTAGCTTAACGAAGTAAACATAGCAAGGGTTTTTTAAATAATATAATAAATAAAAAGAAAACAGATAGAATAGAAAATGAATAGAGCAAGCTAGTGTTAGAGGTCTATATATCATCCGCCAATATAAGCGGATGATTATTTGCTGATAAATGGTAAATGGCTGACATTAAAATGGCATGCTATTTTGTATAGTAAATTTAAAGATAAAACACTAAAATCTAAAATCATTTGTTTAAATGCTATATGTTAATGTAAGCATCATTACATTATAATGTAAAGTATGAAAAATGGGTATTCATTTTGAGATTTGCTGAAGATTATATAGATTTAACAATGTTATTAAATTATGTATTTTTTTAAATGAACTTGAAGTTAGATTATGACAAAGGCATTCTAAATGCAAAAATAGGGGACATGAGAATGACCAATGAAATATTCAATAGCTAGCCTATATCGATAAATTGCTGAAAAGTTGTCATTGTTGCTGCTTAATTTTTATTGTGGGAACCATGATACATTTTTTCAGGACTCTTTGATGAATAGAAAGTTCAACTACAGAATGTAACATTATAAATGTCTTTACTGCCACTTTCATCAATTTAAAGCATCCTTGCTGAATAAAAGTATTATTTCTTTCAAAAAGACTTTCTTTTCCCCAGACTTTTCGATGGTAATGTATATAATATACATATTGCATCTTGCTACTGGTAATGATCATGAGCTAGATTACTATGGATGCAGGTATAGTAGTTATTTTGGTTACTAAACCCGAAATTTCTGCCTTAGTCCAAGCAGGAGTGTCCCATGCAATGGGGGACCAAAGACCTCCTCTGTCAAAGTTAGCCATTAGGAAATGTTCTATGCATAAAAAACTAAGTAATGTAAGTGATTTGAAAAGGAAGTCAGACATCTACAGTATCTTATTGCTACGAACAGAGGAGGGTATCTGATCCAGTTAACTTGATGGGTGGCCCAGATGGAAATGGATTAATGGCTCTCAACATTAATTAGAACAATGCATATCACATTGCTGTCCTGAGGCCACAGTTCTGATCCGAACCAGCATTATTTTCATCAAGACTCTGCCAGCAATGACAAATTCAATTGATCATCTATACTTAAAGCCAAGAATCTAATACATAAAATCACAAGTCTCTTGCACGGTGCTGAGTCAAGCCCACAAATCTGCTCTTTTGATTGTTGAATCAAGTCAATTTTTATAAACTGTGTGACTCAACTTTTCTCTTAGAGTAAAAATATTTAGTTGTTTGCTTGTATGTTCACAAATATCCTGAACACAGGCTGTAACACTTCTGGGAATAAGCATATCCAAAGCAGTAGGAAACAGCTTGCTGCTGAATAATGGCCACAAACAAAAAGCGAACCACTCAAGGCTAGTCACCTGCTAATGTCATTCTTATCAGAAACTGCAGCTTGTAAAGATATCCCAACCCTGGTTACAACATATTTTCTGGAAATTGCAAGGGTAGAGATGCTGTTTCATCCGAGAGAGTCTTTCTACGAATGCTACTCAAGGGTGAACTTGCGGTCTTCCCATTTGTCTGTGTGTCATAAGAGGTTTGGCTGAGCAGATGGGTGAGTGGGGACATAAGATTGTCTTTCTTCTGAGTCATGTGCCATAAGACCCTCGTAGAGTTCACACCCTGGCCTCCTCCTTCTCGGTCTTTCCTGAGTTAAGGAACCTCCCTAAAGATGTGGAGCCAGAATGCAAAGCACTGCAAGATTTCCAAGAGAAATCATATACAAATATTCTTTAAGATATTCATGATTTCTGGACATAAAAGATTGCAACTAAGATAAACAAATAGTTGTTTTTTCCACAAAATATAAAGGCTGTTAAAAAGACAATCTTCTGAGCATGAATATATAAAGGTACTGCGCCATAACTGAACCACAGTAGCAGTTTGTCCAGGCCACACGTGACTTCTGACACCTAGGTTTAGCTGCTGCTTCCTGCATGTCAGGCCTAATTACGGCAGAACCTGCTTTGATACAAGCTGTAGCTATGTTTGACTATTTAGTCTTTAAGGCTACACCTAATACATATATATATATACCTTAAGTAAAATGTTATTCTTGAAAGACAAAATGAAATTCTTAAAGCAGCACTATGTAACTTTTTCTGTGTTCAAAATCTGCAAAATGTATATAATGAGCGAGTACATCATGAATTCATCTTCCAAACCGCGTTTTTGTCTTATTCCGAATCACTACGGTACACTTATAATAAGTACTTATATTTAGACTATTGTAGCCTGGTCGGGTCGTCACCGCTGCGGAGTAACACATACCTGCGTGAATCGCCAGAGACATAAACTTAGAGAAGTAGCTCCGGTTGGAATGTTCTTCCGCGGGATGTGTGCAGTTCTGTTTATTAACCGCTAGAGCGCCAAAAGTTACACAGTGCTGCTTTAAGAGTAGGGATGGGCGATACCCCTTATTGTATATATATATATATATATATATGTGTGTGTGTGTGTGTGTGTGTTTAAATATAAATGAATAGGTTATTTTCATTGCCATTAAAGCAGCACTATGTAACTTTTTCTGTGTTCAAAATCTGCAAAATGTATATAATGAGCGAGTACATCATGAATTCATCTTCCAAACCGCGTTTTTGTCTTATTCCGAATCACTACGGTACACTTATAATAAGTACTTATATTTGGACTATTGTAGCCTGGTCGGGTCGTCACCGCTGCGGAGTAACACATACCTGCGTGAATCGCAATAGACATAACCTTAGAGAAGTAGCTCCGGTTGGAATGTTCTTCCACGGGATGTGTGCATATCTGTTTATTAACCGCTAGAGCGCCAAAAGTTACATAGTGCTGCTTTAAAGCAAACAGGTTATTATCGTATGGCTTCAGTAAACGTGCAATAGGGCATACAAGTCGAACCTACTACTTTTTTGATGCTTTTACTTGTTTTTGCATATTTTTGAAGCTGTAGTTGGCCTTTACTGATATTGCATTGAAAGGAGCAACCACCCAGCACAGGCTTCAAAATGTTCTGTTTTGTTTAGCAAAGAAAAAAAAAGTCATACAGATTTGGGATGATATGAAGGTAAGTAAATAAAAACAGAATTTTCATTTTTGGATGAATTAATCTTTTAAGTTTATACAGAAACAGCATTAAAGTTGGCATGAAATTAAAATTCTCATTTAAAGTCATTTTAATTAGTCTCTGTCTGTAATACGTTTGCCAAACCTGATATTCTAAATCTATTTTCTCAGGAAATCAAGAATACAACAATAGATAGTGTTGTACCATAGGGGTGCTTATTAAAAGAAAATGAGAGAGAGAGATAGAAAGTGAGAGAAAAAACGTAGGAGTATGACAAAGAGGAATGTGAGCGTCACAAAAGAGGGCTGTGTGAACATGAGACACTTTATCTAATGCTAATTTTACTATTTTTCCATAATCAACCTCTCTTGCATAAGTAAGCAGCTGAATTAATTCTGACACATATGCAAGGTTGCATTCACACCTACCTGATTAAGAGCACATCTTTACCTGCAGTACATGTATTAATATGCCACATGACCCTTTGACCTCATTTACACCAACAAGGGGTCAAAGTTCACCGGTTAGCATAGACTATAGTTAGCACCTGCTGGTTGATATTGCAACTACACCATCTGAAAGCAACAAAAAGCATCTTTCTCCATTGTTGGCCACTCAAAATTAGCCATTTATTTTTTGCAAGCAACATTGAAAGTGCAAATACTTCATTATATTATAATAGCAGTTTCACCAGTGTCCAATTTGTTTTTGTTTAGATAGAAACGCATGTCTCACAATTCTGAGAAAAAAGTCAGAGTTGTGAGATATAAACAAAGAATTCTGACCTTTTTATTTTTATTTTTTGCAATTATGAGTTTACATTTATATTTTGCAATTACTAGTTTATATTTTGCCATTATGACTTTTTTCTCAAAATTCTGACCGCGCAATTGCTTTTTTTGTTTCCGCCACAGAATAAAAATAAAAAAGTTAATCAAGAATTCTTATCTCACAATTCAAACTTTTTTTCTCAGAATTGCCATTCTGACTTTATATTTCGCAATTCTGAATTTATGTGAGATATAAACTCAGATTTGTGAGAAAAAAATCACAATTACCTTTTTTATCCCGTGGTGTTTATACAGGAAATTCACTAAAATAGCAGAACTTTGCTCTAAACTTCACATTTGTTGTTTAGAATAAAATGTAAGTACATTTGTGCATTTTTTTTTCGCGATCAACAGCACAAACGCACTTACATATTAGTCACAAAATCAAAGGCCCTCGAAAACCAGTCACAGCAGACACATTTGCGATATCGGCAACACTTTTCAATAAGGTTCAGTTTGTTAAAATAAGTATTTTTTTTACAGCATTTATTAATCTACATTAATGTACATTTTTACAAAGACTAGTAATACATTTTTAGTATTTCAAGTTGTATATATTAACATCATTTGTTACAGACAAATATCAATTAACA